AGAGAAAAACTGCTAGAGTTCTTCTTAAGGAGATTACATAAATATGCCGGCAATTTACCCAACATGGCTTTATATAGAAAAATATGCAAATGAAGTTGTCTACGTAGATTTAGTGACGTCCAGCCTACCAGTTCATACAGCGTACAATGATGAGTACGGTAACCAGAGTTAGTTATAAAACGTAGAACACAATGATACACAGAATCTAAAAGGTGCAGAGTACTAGAGGCAGCATGCATGTAGACGACATCACCATAGTCCAAAACACTTAAAAAAGTGGCCTGTACAAGTTTTTTCCTAGCTAACAAATTAAAACAAGCCTTATGCCTAAAGTAAAACCCCAGTCGTAGTTTCAGCTTTTTTACAAGCTTTTCAACATGAACTTTGAAAGAAAGTTTGTTGTCCAGCCAAAAACCTAAACACTTATATGAGGAAACATTTTCAATTAGGTCACCATAGTGTGTTAATGGTTATTTTATCTGAGGATTGGGAACAAGCCCTAGAAAACATCATAGATTTAGTTTTCTTAGTATTTAGCACTAGCTTGAGACCATGTAGTGAGATTTGAAGCTGATTGAAGGCTAACTGAAGGTAATTTATGGCTTGGTTCAGTGAAGGGGCAACTGAATATATCACAGTATCATCTGCATAAAGGTGTAATTTAGCAGTTTTCACACCATGTCCAATATTATTAATGAATATAGAAAATAAAATAGGGGCTAAAATCGAACCTTGAGGAACACCTTTAGTAACTTCTATAAAGTCTGATTTAAGACCGTCTATAGAAACACACTGCGTTCGTTCTGTAAAATAGTTTTTAAACCAACTGACAGCTTTGTTTCCTATTCCAATGTTCCTTAATCTATTTAGCAACAGCTCATGGTCAACCGAATCAAATGCTTTGACACTTGCTGTACCTAGAGAGGTACGTCGGTTCTCCAGAGCGCGCCCAGACACACTGAAAGCACACTCACAACTAACGCTGGAAGCTGGAACGAGTTGCCATCTTTGGGAAGAGGTGTTCTGTGTTTTTCCATACACCTAAAATGTCTCTGTTCACTATCAGAGAACTATGAGAACGTGCGCATTACAGCTTCTGTGTTTCCAGCTGCTGAGAGCCGCCTTTATATTAGCGCCTTGATCGCTAACAAGCACAAGTTTGTCTATTTCAGCCTGTGACAGTCCGAAGTCATGCAGCTGTTTCAATAGTTCCGTTTTTATATTTGCGGCCGTTTTTGAGTCAAATGGGAAAGCACTGGTGCATATTACCTGGCTTTGAAACATCCAGTCTTCGCCTATGAAGTGGAGAGTGATGCATGTGTAGCTGACCTTTTTAAAATCATCAGTCCACATGTCAGTGGATGCTCCACAAGCAAATGCCATAGCAATAGCCTGCTTGACTCTAGGTAAAAGCTCTTGTTTCAAGACAAGGCACCTCTCCAAAGTGGCACGAGAAACAGTGACTCCCGAGGGGAGAATATCTTTGACATCACAGTGGCCGTGCTTAGCTCCAATCTCGATCAAGCTCCGTGCTAACTGACAAAATGAGCTTGTTTCAAACATTCTGTATGGTCTGAGATCTTTAGCACAGACTCGAATGCAGTTTTCAAGTATTGTCTTTTTATACTGGGCAGGTACCCCAGTGCTCTTCCTCACAAACGAATGCATGGAGCTTTACTTTGTTGTCTTGTGCCGACATGATCTCTCGTGCTTCAGCAAATGGGACGTTCCAGTTTTAGCCGAATCAAATCATAATATTGTGTTGCAGTCAACGCATTTAACTGCACCAGTCTTTTTTCTCTCCTTATCAACAATCAAAACAAAAGTTCCCCACACCGATGACGACCCTGGATGTTTTTCTTCAACATATTCGTTTTCCCTCACCTTTCTCGAAATCTCTGTAATCACCTCCATGCTCTTCTGACAGTGTCGCATATTTTTTAAAATTGATTGACAGGCCTGGCTTAACGACAATACTAATACTTGCATGTAGTCAAACATCCGTCCACATGATGGCGCACTAGTTCTTCTTGGCAAACGGAGGGGTTGGTTTATGTGGAGAGAGCAACTGAGTAAATAAATGCGGAAGCAACCGTGATTATGCTTATAGCCCATTGCACGTAAAAGCGCGGATTCGCTCTCTCACTTAAAAAAGAAGTCAAAGAACGGTGTCACAAGCCATGTTTCCATCGACACGTTTTTATCCGAATTAAGTGATATCGAATGAAAAATGCCTTATGGAAACAGTAAAATTCGATGAAATTTCATGAAAATCGACTCAAATGAAATACGTTCGGTCTCATCGGATTTTCTCTTGATCGATATACGGCTAATGCGATAAAAGCTGATGGAAACGTTATTTGCCGAATAAATAATGAATTGCATACGTGCATCGTCATCATCATAGCAATGTTTATAGCGTCGCTGTTTTCTTAGGTTAGTTTTGCTTGTTTTTACGTGGCTTGGTTGAATTGTAATGTAGAATGTGGTCTGTTATTTCTAGTTAACAGACTGCGGCGCTGCTAGTATAACACACCGTTGCCATGGACGCAGTTCAGAGACGGAACAGACTATTTTCTTTAGCAGAAGCAATACTCGTTTTTAAATCAATAAACTCGTTTTTAAGTCAATATTTTGTGTCAAATTATTGATTTATTTATTTATTTGATTGATTTATATGTAGGCTAATAAGCAGGATAATATATAGCGAGGCGGTTGTTATAGCGAATACAACCAACAACCGCCTCGCTATACATTATCCCATTCATATGTCGCAATCAGCTGGCACATAAGCATTATTAGCCTTCAACTTGTGAAATATTGATCATTTGTTGGTAGATGGCGCGATCCGTTTGGTCTAACAAAACTTTGTTCGCAAAAGTTTGCTTGAATGTTGTTCGATTCAGTGCGAAAATAAATGGAAACACCTTAAAATGTCTCAAATCAATTCGATATACCAATTTGATCGCAAAACAGCATGTGACGTCATTACGTACAGGTTTTTATTCGCTTTAAAGCCGTTGGATGGAAACACACTTTCACCAGCTTTATCCGCATGAGTTTTTTAACCGAATTTCAGATCATTCGATTGACAAGTGGATGGAAACATGGCTATAGAGTTGCTTTACTGCAATTTTGTTAAATGCCCAACATTGTTTAAAATAATTCGGGTCTTCTCGGGTCCATTTGGAAAAGGCATATTTATTTTAAGTTACCCGAGACCCGAGGCCACTAATACCGAACCCGACCCGTATCCGAGACACTCGTCAGAGTTTGGGACCCGAACCCGCGGGTCTCGGGTCAGACCTCGGGTTTTCGGATCTAAGTGGACCCGTGAAGTCCTCTAGTCTATATGTCATGCAAACAAGAAACTATGCTTAAAGGGTTAGTTCACCCAAAAATGAAAATTAAGTCATTAATTACTCACCCCCATGCTGTTCCAACCCCGTAAGACCTTCGTTCATCTTCGGAACACAAATTAAGATGTTTTTGATTTAATCTATGAGCTGGATCACTCTTCCATTGGCTTTCTAAGGGACTGGCTCTTGACAGCCCATAAAGTCATTAAAGAAAAGGTTTAAATATTCCATGTGCCTACTACAGCGGCTCAATTATAAGTTTATCAAGCGACGAGACTACTTTTTGTGCGAAAAAAACATAAATAATGGCTTTATTTGACTATTCCATTACTTCCTTATTGGCGCATGCGCGAGAACTGAGACGAGGACGATCTCCTTCGACTTGTTACCGGCTGCTCACCGCTTAGGAGTTTTACCGCCCCCTACCGTATAAGTTGATGTGCTGATATAGCTGGAAGTGCAAAACTTTCTGTTTACAAGCAGAGGAAGATGCGCGCTGTACATACGCTTTTCAATTAGCGTATTTTCCGCACTACAAGGTGCACTTAAAAGCCTTTAATCTTCTCAAAAAACGACAGTGTGCCTTATTATCATCTTATACGGTAGGGGGCGGTAATACTCCTAAGCGGTGAGCAGCCGGTAGCAAGAAGTAGACGAATGAGAACGTCCTCGTCTCAGTTCTCGCGCATGCGCCAATAAGGAAGTAATGGAATAGTCGAATAAAGTCGTTATTTATGTTTTTTTCGCACAAAAAGTAGTCTCGTCGCTTGATAAACTTATAATTGAGCCGCTGTAGGCACATGGAACATTTAAACCTTTTCTTTAATGACTTTATGGGCCGTCAAGAGCCAGTCCCTTAGAAGCCAATGGAAGAGTGATCCAGCCCTCAGATTCAATCAAAAATATCTTAATTTGTGTTCCGAAGATGAACGAAGGTCTTACGGGGTTGGTACAGCATGGGGGTGAGTAATTAATGACTTAATTTTCATTTTTGGGTGAACTAACCCTTTAACTACAGGTCGAGAGCTGTCATCCCAACCACACAACTTTGCAATGCTGTTAGCGAATGTTCGTTGGAGCTATGTTTTTGGCTATGCAAAACTATGTTTTTGACCATAGTTGGCTAACAATGCTTCCGGGAAACACTCTCCAAATCAATTGAATCCGTGAGTTGTTGACTGAATGAACAGACGCCATTGGATCAGCCCAATTTGGGAATGAATCATGTAGTGCAATTAGTGAATAGCTAAAGAGGTGTATGTAATTTAAATATAGTCTCTCAAACTTGCATACAGACAGGTAATTATTGACAAAGGAGTAATTTATGGGTGGGACACGTCCTCATGGTTGATTTTGTCCCCACCACTTTTTGAAACATATTTAGTATTGTATTAAATAATTGGCAATCTGGTGCTGGAACGTGTTGGTTTTTAAATCATGCTGGGCAAGCATGGCTCGCAAACAGACAAGCAAAATATTTCGATTTATTGTATTATATTGTATTATAGTAGATATAAGGATGACATTATCAGAAAATGTGAGATTTTACCCTGCGCTAGCAAATATTTATTATTGGAATCTATTTCAGAGTTAATAATTAAATAAATCTGTTTTTCTTTTTATTTATTTATTTTGTCACAGATCCCAGAAGAGGAGTCATAATCATGACAAACGGATTCTTCACTCTCTAAACACCTCCGCAGAAAACCTGTGCCTTTGATCAAACCCTGTGAATCAGTCGTTTTCTGGACATTTATGGGACCAACATATGATGACTTGTACTCCACTTCTGACAGACACCTTTATGGACTGAACAGGTGTCATGTAAAGCCATGGATTCCAACAAATCTGTGTAGAACATAAATCATGTTAGAGGAAATCCCATGTGCAATATTTTAGATTAGTAGATTTTGGATGACTATGTTTATTTGGTTTATTTTTTTAAAGCTTTTTCCTGATGTATATTTTTCTAAAACAATATTATTCTCCAACGGAGGAGACACTTCTGAATATCACCTATAGATAAAACAGAGTCAGGCAAAGAAAACGCCTCCTTTCTTAAACAGGGGAAAAGCCATAGTACCTCTCATCAACAATAGTGATCATGTTAAGATTGGCATTTGCTGAATTGTGTGTCATCCTTACATGATGTGTATGTGTGCCCTATAATTTGATTTGCTGTATATTTGAGTGATTCAATCATGATCTAAAACAATGATTCACATAGTTTAAACAATTTGATGACTAAGAGAAATTTAAAATTTGGATCTTAAAAAAAAAACATGATTTTGATATGATTATCCAATGCTGTCTCACGACCAATTCCTGCAAATTTGTACGATTTGTCTAAACACCAGTGATGGGTAGGTTTAGGGGTGAGGTCAGGGGTAGGTCATTTGTGCGAATTCATATGAATTAGCCTCCTTAAATATGAATGAATTGCCTTGAGATCGGGTTGCATTATCATGTTTTCAAATCGACAGCTTGTATGAGTTTCTTAATGTGTGCTTTTCGTGTTTAGGTCTCAAAACGCACATGTGATGAAATATCTGCATTATTTTATATTCATCGGAGTCTAAATTAAGAAATAATAACATAGTATTTTATATTGTACACTACACTAGTAAATCAAAATATTTCACTTTGCTGTGGTTCACAAATATTGAGTCTAATACACACAGTATATTCTGCAAATATGCAACCTTTTCTCCCAAAACCATGTGTGCTTCACATCATTACCTTTAGTGACAAACATTTTGATGACAAATTGACGATTTTCATTACTCATGATATATATATATATATTCATTACTCTTGCCTAATGCTGAAGTTACAGCAAAAAAAAAAAACTACTGTCAACTGTTACTCAGAATATTAAGTATAGATCACTATTTATTTTATTGTCATTCATTCAGTGTTGCTGCACAAAATATATTAAGATAGAATTAAAATAATGTTCAGATTGTCAATTGTCATGTCAACTGTTACCTTTATTTATTTATTTTACACATTGTCAGTGACTTAAATTGACTTGAAAATGCTGCTTCTGATATGCTATAAAGTGCATTTTATACCCCCGCAGGTAGGACTTCTGCATACCACACTCAAAAGTATGAATCTGATCTCTGTACTGTAGATTTATATGTATAGAAGAACATTACTTTACCTATACCCATGAAAATATCAGTTCTTTAACATCTGTGTCACCTGACCCTGTAGATGCATTCCTTGATATAGGCTAACAGTAAGTATACTGCTGATATATATGCACATTTATATCTGTGTAAAAAAGGATACTGAAGCTTTGAAATACTTTGTGGATAATTTCCAAATGCTTGATTTGAAGTGTAAAGAACATGATTGATTGATTGTTTATTTATTTATTTATGACAGGTGCCCTGGTTTGAGAGAAAAAACATTTTTGGGGGGCAGTACATTTTCTTAATTCACCTGTTATTGGCAGAAAGGTAATTTATACTCTGGCTACAGTAGTGGAAATATTTATTGTTGGATGAAATGGCACAAAAGTTCTCAGAATACATGTACGGGTCATGCAATTGCACTGGGATTTTATGGAGATGCTGGAGAAAAATGATCTGATTTACAGTATCTGAATAGATGTAGTGTTTTACAAAATCATACAATCATGTCTATATAAACAGTGCTTTATTTCCTTGTTACTTCACTCACGTCTTTGTCAAGTGTTGCTTATTCTGTTCTGTCATGAGAGGGAAATATCTCAATAAAATGTTAAATTTGTCATTGTCCTAATGAACATGTTGTTAATCTAAATATTGATGAGTATGTTCATTTTTCATCCTATCACTGAATAGAGCTTGTGAGAATTTTATGGATCTGAATGATTTTCCCAGGCAACCCAAGCAAAGCTATCAAACCGGTGTGAAGCAAAATGACTATTTTCCACAGAACTAGATTGGGTAACACTTTATTCTACTGTGTCATTGTTATATACTGTATTTTACATGCAGTTACTATAGACCATTTTGCAAGATGTAAACAACACTGGTTTTTAACACTACACAAAAGCTGGGATAAAATACAACCAACAGAACATATAAAACTGAATCAAAAAGTAAAAAAAAACATCTTCAAGATTTTTTCTTTACATGTGAAATAAAGAAAACAGTTACAAACTGAAACAGGAAGTGTTTCTGGACCAGTGTTTTTTACATCTTGCAAAATGGTCTATAGTTATAACTATAAATAACATGCAATTCACCTTAAACCAAACCCCAATCATAACCCTATGGTTATTTATTATATTAATTAGTACTTAAATGTTTAATTACAGCGTAAGACACCTTAAAATAAAGTGGAACCCTAGTTTATACACTATAAACATCTTTATGTCTATGTAAAGTTCCCATAAAACATGGAAACCAGAACTGTCTCAACCTAGTTGCAAAACAGCAATCTCATTGTAATTTGTTTGGACATATTAAACATTTTTTTTAAGTTAAATTAAAAGTATTACATTGTGGGATAGTGTGTTGTTGTTTCATCTTAAAATGACTTCATTTTAAAGCTGCAGTCCGGCGTTTTTCCTCTTTGTCACCATCTCTGTTCGAAATCTGGAATTGCAGTTATTCGCGTAATTTACACGAGTTGTACTTCCTTCGACACAAGGCCGCAAGGATATACACAGTAGGTGTTTCTCAATGTCAAGGATACTTCCTTGGCAGGACGGGTCCTTCCAAGTCATTTCCTTCAGAGGCTAGGCAAGGGTCCTCTTTAGCATTCGGAGAACACGTAAATGGAACAGGCTAGCAAGTGCACGTCATTGCGTCATTACATCAGTGAAAGGTCCGCTTCGGCGCTGCAAAAATCATAGTGCTGGTGTACTGCACTGTTTAAATACACTTGACAGTCCTTATTTTGTCTTGTCAGTCCTCATAGAAATAAATAAATAAAGTATAAGGGATAATGTATAACCAGGCGGTTGTTATAGTGAATACAATCCCGCAAACTCTAAAGCAGAGGGGTCTTGATTGAATCAGCCTGAAGGGGTTGTATTCGCTGTATTCTATACATTTTCCCACTTATAACACAGCTACCTACCAAATAAATCAATAATTTGACACAAAATATTAATTTAAAAAGGAGTTTAAATTCATTCAAAAATGATTATATTACTGGAGTGAACAGAACTACGTCCATAGCAACATGATCTAGCTGTTAAAACACATGCAATGGTAAAATATGTGACCAACAAAAAAGGCTATAACGTTATATGGAGTAAAAATTAAAAAGTTAATCACCAGTAAAAGGGAACAGCTTTAAATCCCCTCAGCAAATTTGAGCCGATATGTTAAATAGTTTAACAAACATTAAATAAATGGCTAAACTGAAATTATAGCTGCTTACATTTGAAAGCATATTGCCGTTATCACTCCGACTCCGCTAACGGTCGACATTTTTTTATTTTTTGAACAAGATAGCAAAGCTGCGCATAGGATTGTGGGTGATTTAAGAGCGCGAAGGCTACACATATGCATCCTTTCCTGTGTATGGGATATTTTCCGAACGAAGGACTCAGTCCTTGGTTGAAATTCTGAGGATCCTCGACATTGGAACAGTCCTTCGACGGACGTCGATGACGTAGCATCCTCGAAATTCCGGCTTCCGAGGATCCTTCCTTGACATTGAGAAACGCCTAGTGTTTGAGGAGAGTGTGCAGCTGTCAGTCATTCAGAGATTAGATTATTCTTTTTGGAATTAAGCCAACATAAGAATTTTCACCGGAAAATGTCATCTGAACTAGCAAGAAACATCCACTTTTGTTCTGGTTCTGACATTGCAGGAAATCGTGCTGATTAAATCTATAAATTGCTTGTAAGTTATCATATTATGCAAAACTGTGCAAATTCTAATTTGTTCTCAAACTGTTAATGTTAACAACGTCAGCAAGTATGGCGTGACTACATATAATGTCCTTCAGATATGTATCCTTGTTTTCGCACGGGTCCGGTTGCAGTCTCTTTTTTTCTGTAGCCACTCCTTGTCACAGTGTCTGGTTGTGTTTCCCTGGGTTGTCACTAGAGGTCATCATTCTCACGGTGTCTTTCACATTTGACTTCATTTCCCAGCCTTCTGTCTGTCACTCATCAGTTCATTGCACTCAGCTGTTTCCCATCACATTGTTAGATCTGTGTGTATATATTCCCAGTCTGTGTCAGTGTCGTTGTTATATGTCACACCACTTTTTGAGTTTTGGATTGCCTGTTCTTTGTTTTTTTTTTCCCTTGGATTGCCTTTTGGGTTTTAACCCTTGCCTGAACTGTTTTGTGAGTACGGATTCCCCTATTAAACTACCTGCTATTGGATTTCTGTCATCTTGTGTGTGTTCCGTGACACTCCTAAGTCCAAACTAAGTCTTTTCCATTGTACACCGGTTGAATCTTCAGTTATCACTGGTGATTGTCGTTGGAACTTGCGCTACGTCGAGAGTGACTCTGTGGGAACGTCTATACCAACGCTGCCATAGTGACTAGTGCCTGTCTTGTGTGAAATCAGGTGAGCACAACAAGGAAGGAATCACCTGGGACCCAGGGGTAAAGCCTAAATCTAGGTTTTAAACCTGAAAAATGTGTGCAGAAAGGACCAGCCCGCTGCATCACACACCTCTTGTAGGGATGTCCCCTGTTATAAGGCTAAAGGCTGGTTCACACGGCAGGATTATTAGCCCGATTTTAGCCCCGATTCACCCCTTCCGACAATCTTAAGGATGCTCCGATTATCGTAAAATAATCTGATCAGATATTCCTGCCGTGTGTGGTGTGTTAAGACTGCTCTTGTCTGGTCGGAAGGATGCCGGGACCGCTCCGATCTCAAATTGGGCATATCCGACATGTTGGATTGTTTTGGCCCGAATTCTCCTCGTGTGTGGTGTCCCCCGATGACGAACGAGCATGCAGCCTGTGAACTGTGGCGTGTAGCCAATCAGAAAGCAAAGTGACGAGGCGCAGAGGAAGCACCGGCGGGAAACAAAATCAAAACAGCCGGCGGTATGGCGCAACAGAAAGTCCGGTGGACGTCCAAAATGGAGGACCAACTTGTCGACCTGTGGCAACACCGTAAATGTTTGTACAATATATCATGTAAAGAATATCATAACCGCAATGATAAGGAGAGGAATTGGGCAGAAATTGCTGCTGCACTTGAGATACCAGGTAATACATAGTACCTCGTATTTAAATGTATTTGTGTGTTTTCTGATGATGGTTTAGTCTATGAATAGGGTAGGATGAAGGGCTACATTAGCCACTGAATTGAATCCCAACAGTTATGGATCCTATTTAGGAACACATATTTTACTCATTAACTCATCATCATCATCATCATCATATCTTTATTCAGGACATACATATTAAATGGTCCATAGCACTATACAAAATAAAGTACATTCAAAATAGAAAAGATACCCAACAGTTAAAATTTACCGAACATTACTGTAAATATGGTCATTGCTACGTCATGGGAGCAGTCTATATCCCTCCTAAATCATTCATTTGTACATGCACAGCGTAATAATTTATATTTTATGTTGGTTGTCGTGATTGTTATCCTGAACGGGCCACCGGTCCACGGGTCTTTGCGTGATCACGGTAGGCTAATGGCTGAATCGGAATTTATAAGCAAGATCACGGGAATCAATAACCTACATCCCAGTTGTGCTAAAATAAATGTCATGAGACGTCCATCATCAGATGAATGACATGGAAAAGTTAAGTTAGAGCCGCTAAAGCCAGTGCAACTACCAATGCGAATATGAACACAAGCTTTTCCCTCCAAAAATATAGCCTAAAAAACATCTAAGTTGTCACCCTGCCTCTCCAAATGCAACACTGACATTAATCAAACGCAATAAAAGCTTAAAAAGTACTTTGGTGTGCGTTTTATTTTATATTTACCGTTTAATAATGCAATCGCTGCTGTCTGTCCATTGAAGAACATGACAGCCCGCGTCTGTTTTGGAACTATTGGGGCTTCCATGAACCACGTGACAGCCTTGCGGCGACATCAAAGCGTGCCGCAGCTCTCTCAATACATGGCTCTGATCATCATAACCCAACCTGTAACGCCAGCCACTCTGATTGGCCAAGGCAACATGCGAGGCATATGGCGCGATCGGCGCGTTTATGGTTTTTCAAGCAGAAAATAACGGCACAGATGCGAAACGCCAATAAAAGGAAGAAGAAGAAGAAGAAGAAAATAACGGCACAGATATTCAGCCTGCATCCCCGTCATGATCGCTGGTGAACCCATCGTTTCCTCTAAATTGAAGGTAAGTTGAATTCGTCCAGTCTAGTGAATTCTATGTCCATGTGTACTTAAAGTGTACTGTTTGGTAGTTTAGCGTTATTGTCTTAAACTTCACAAACCTGCTGTGGTTACTGCCGCGAATGTTCAAGGGCGTTAACCTTAACGGCACAGTTTTTTTTTTTTTTTGCGTTAGCTTGCTGCTCTTAATTCTTTTTTAGTTTCATGTCAATTTGAACAATTTGGGACACTAAACTGTAGGTTGCACGTTGTTATCTGGCTGCTAGCTAGCTACCATTCTTTGCTAGTAATCAAGCTAACTCGTATTGGGTGTTCAACGGGCTTTTCCCAATGCGTTTACTCTGAATATCGTCAGAAATTATGGAAAAATTATGTGCCAGCCCAGGATCATACAAACTCAAAGTTCGTTATGTGCTTGTATGCTCTAGTGTAGGCTATCCTTGTTTGTAAAACTGCGACACTTAAC